TCAAAGCACAAACACACTGTAAGCTCTCTGACAGAAACAGTATATTTTTAAAATAGTCTCCTGTTATTTGTATACTCTTCCCGTCTTTTTTTCAACAGATCTTCAGCTCACCTTTGACTTTTTTCACGATGATTTCTTGTGTAATTCCGAGACGACAGTCGACTTGACTGTGTGATATACTTGTCAGTGTGAGGTCTTCTCTGACTATCCTACCGACAATCTTCTGAGCCATTTGTGTAGACTTCAAATGTTTACCTTATATACATTTCAGGTTGCGTCACTGTTATTTTAAACTCAAGGTTTTACTATGATAAAGTTAACATGTCCAGTCCTGCATAACACATACCTGCTATGTCATACGTTCTATGTATATCTAGATTAAAGGATATCCTCGACAGGTGGAGGATACGGGTGAATTCCAAAGAATTTCGGAGGGACATCATGTCATACATTCTGCAAAGTTCAATCTTGTTTACTGTGACGTCACACATTCCTTACCTATAGGAATTTCGTAGGGACATTGCGTCATACATTCCACAAAGTTATTGCCTCCTCCCAAATTCCTCACCTCCAGGAATTTCGGAGGAACCTCCAGGAATTTGGGAGGTGGCGACTGTAAAACTACCCTACTCGCAATATATAAAAAAAATATCTCGTCGTCAGAAAAATGTCAAAATGACGGGCCAGGATGAATAACTGATCAGGAAGGAGAACCTACTTCTAGTAAATAGGATCGCGTAAAAAAATTATTAAATCGAAATTTTTCAACAGTACATGTTTTCATATGTTGTTGACTTAGAATGTATGATCATTTAACCTTTTCTCTATAAAAAAAAATAATTTTCGACTTCAGATAGAATCGGAATACGTATTGAAAACAGGGGAAGAAACACTTGTTTACGTTGTAAAAATGATAATGATAAAAAATGATAATGCCGATAACTACAGCTTCTGTTTCGGACAAAAATGAAATGATTAAAGAAAAGTTGGCTCAACATAAAAAAGGGTCCATTGACAAGAATGCTTTAATCTATGAAAAGTATTGAAAAAATATAATTATCAAGTATCTCAACACGTCCCATATTTGACACATATTTTGCATGTACACGTAGTGGTTTTGCCATACAGTTTAGTGTGTGTGATGGCTAATATGACTTACTAAGTGTTAGCGTATGGAGACAGTGAAAGTGGGAAAAAAAAGTATGCATAAATTTATATGCATGGTATAGAAAAAAAATGGCCAAAGATATTGAGTTGTACAATGTAATGGAAAAAAAAATCAGCAAAGGTTTTTTTTTTTTATACGCGTGTAGTTTGTCATTGCATATATGCACTTTATGAAATCATTTGAAAAGGGATATTCGTCTCGTGAATATTCCTTTTTACAGAAAGGTTTGTCCCATGGTTGAGGGAAGGTGTTTAGCCCCGTACAGATGTCACCTGCCGGTACTAAATTCAATATATATATATATATATATATATATATACTCTATATTAATGCCTATTATCATTGTTGACATTTAATTGTAAATGTATGACGGGCGAAGGCTGTGATAAGTTGTAAAAACGTGAGCCCCATCCAATGTTCAATTTAATTGGCAACAAATATGTTTAAAGCTAAATAAATTTAAAATCTGAATATTGGCAAGTGTGCAATTAACTTCTGATGATGAATAACTACTGTTCAATAGGTTTTAATACGGACTTAGAAATCATATTACTTGGTTTCATAGTGCGGTAAGAAGTTGCAGTTGCCTGACGCCCCTCTCTGGGGGCCCCTTTGGAAACCGTTTCATCTCGCCCAGATCGCCTAGTCAGGTGACGTTTTCGGCGCTATTTTTAGCAGGGCTTTCCCGAACAATTCAAGTGGTCAAACTGGACATTTGGAACGGACTATGAATATGGGGATAGCGAGGTAACATAAATGGAAGTGAATACAATACATAAATTCATTAAAAAAATATCGCTTTTCACGTGATGTCCCTTTAAGATAGGGGGAACTGTTATTAGAGCGTGACATCGAAAGTAAGGATATTACTGTTGACCCACAGGGCCACGTTACAATCACACATATGCTATACTGATATGGGTCACAACACACATAAACATGTATGTCTATGTGTGTTGTGACCCATATCAGGGTTGACCGGTGATTCGATCTACTGATTCCTCTCCTGTTTCAGTGAACGACGACAATGCCTAACCCTATGATCAACTATCTTAAGTGAACAAGCCATGACGTTTGGTGTTGTTCAAGGATCGATATTATGACCATTGAAATATTGTGGGTTTTTTAAAACCGATCCGGGAAATCTGTCATTGTCAAACATGGTTATCAAATCTGGTGATAGCTTGGATACACAATCGTAGGCATCAGTACCGGGATGAACACCAACATGCATTAAGACTGGACTAATTGGGACAAAAAAAGGTATGTTTCAGGTACCCCGACAAACCTTAGTTTTTTTCTCCAACCCTAACGATTTTATATCTCACTCGAACGCACTCCATCCAGTGTTGGGATAACATGTCCAACAGATGCAAATGAAATGATGGACATACAAACAAGGCAACTTTACATATACCCTTTCTCCTTCATAGCCAGGTCTCAAAACCAAATTTAAATACCATTTTATGATTTAAAAAGCCTTAAAATATGTTTGGTGGTCTCCCCAAAAAAACCATAATGAAGTAAAATCAAAATATATCTCGACCGACATACCCTTTTTTTTTCGGTCATGCTACCTGAAACACTCGAAAGTTTCACAAGACGCGGACTCAAAGTTGAAGGTTGGTGCCAAAAGTATCGATGCAGTCCCAGGTGTAAAAATAACTTTTATAACCATTTAACATACACGTGAACAGAAACAATTACAATATCCTGTTTCTACCCGCTCAACGTTGTTTAATGTATCCGTCACTTTATGGAGTTTTATTTGTTAATCCACGTGTTGAGTATGACACTTACTGTCAGTGTCTCACTCTGATACATTTGTATATCTGAAACACGAACAGGGATCAGATAGCTCCGCGTTCCAGAAAGAAAGACGGTTTAATTCAAGGCTCGCCTGAAAACATCATTCGAACAACAACGGTCCAACCTCTTCAACTGGTCGTTTGGATCGCGATAAACGAAAGCGGCCCGTAGGCCTAAACGGCTCATGATCAGGTGGCGCAGAAATACTCCGCGATAAATGAACGCACTTTTGACCGAACTGTAGGCAGAGCTAAAAAAACACAGTTTCGGAGTTTTGTGACAGATAAATAACAACATATGGAAAAGTATATGTCATTCTTTCATGCATCGCCTTAATTATATAAAGTATCCTAAAATATACATGTGAATCGACATTGCTTTATAAAGAAATCATGCAAACTAATGATAGTCAGCATTTTAGTTTCGGTCAGGCACGTCTAGATACCCGAGCTCAGCCTCGGTTTAGATCTGAGCTTATCGTTTTGGTTGCATGTTCAGCTGGCTGAAACGGTTGAACCGGATACGATACAGGACGCATAAAACAGTCTTGGTAAACATGTACAAGGCACTAAAATAAGCATTTTCTGAGAATTTACAAGAGTTTTTCTACTATTAGCAATCAGGGTCACTGCAGTCGGAGACAGAATCTAAGTGTTGCAAACTTTTGAACGGTTACCTATGGAAACCGCTGTTTCGGAAGGCAAGAATCCATTTTATGAAATCGTTTACTATTTTCTTACAGGAAATCGAGACCCCTTACAACATTAAAGAATGATTTTAAAACTCACTTACTTTTTAGGTACGTGCTGGAAAGACGGAGTTTCACTAAGTTTCAAATACAGTCTTGTGAAAACGATTATTATTTAATTTGTTTAGTTCAAAAGGAAACAACGACCTGCATTCATATTCTAAAGTGCATAGCTATGTGCCTAATACATTTGTTAAGAAATAAACTGATTATTAAATTGTGTGCTGCTATAAAAAAAACAATTCCGTTTGGATACATCCCATGATGCGCGGTACGGTTAAATCTTTATATTAACATTCAAAACAACAAATATTCTGTCTGGTTTCCTTCAGTTCATGAAACATTTTAAATAAACTGTATTCCTAAATTGTGAAACAGGTTTGTAAAAACAATGCCATCATTGCTTAACTAATGGTATGACAGGAACACAAGGACAGTTTTGAACTGGAAAACACTCACTTTTAATAGTTCTTGTTGTCATTGCGAACCAGTTTGGTTGGTATTTTTAACTAATTTTGTTTGTTTGTTTGGGGTTTAATGTCCTAGCAACAGCCAGTTTAAAAGGAGGACGGGTGCCTAGGGAGACACCGTCCAGAGGAGAGAAAAAAGATAGAAAAGAAAGAAAACTGGAAACGAGAAAGATCTCAAATGGGGGCAGCAATTCAATTTTGGTCTCTTCAAAGTTCTCTTACATGTAGTAGACGACACAGAAGAAAAAGACCTATACTACAGGGCCCCAGATTGGTCGCCTCTTACGATCATACAGTGGGACACAGCAGGCCCAAGGACTGTACCTTGATAACTTAAGACTACAATTGGTAATCTAAGACAAGTGTAATAAGCTGAGTATTCACTGGGATATTTACGATAAGTCACTAGTCAATGGCAATCGGGAGCCGTCGGCACTTTCCGTAAACAGTCTCGTTTACGGAAAGTGCCGATGGTTCCCGGTTGTAGTCAATGGCCGAGTGTACAAGGGGACGTAACTCTAACGCACACATATTACTCGCTATTCACGCGAGTTACAGGATGAGCTTGTTAATTTCAACAGAGAATTGTTCAACATGTATCTATATGAAAATTTGAAGAAGAAAAAAGCGTTCTGAAAAATTTCCTTTTATAATCAGTCATCAATCTTCAGACAAAATGAGAATTACTGTGTTTTTAATTAAAATATGTTGACGGGAGAGCAATTTAACAAAGCCATATGCAACTTTATGTTAAGAATGTCAAACGTCATATGGCGCTTTACAAAAACCAAAACGAAGATGTATATCAACATTTAATAAACATGTAATGACAAAACAACACGTGTAATTTCAATTTTCTATACATATAAGTTAAATGGAAGATTCCAAGAACAAATTATCGATGTTTTGCAAGTATTCTCTGTAAGAAAAATCTTGTACGATATTTTAGTTGATGACACTGTTTATCCAGTTGACGTATGAAGACACACGTGTAAAGACACCGGGATAATCTCCAGGACGGTTCACGCTCGCGAATGAGGCCACGCCTACCTGGATCCATTCTCCTCTGTCATTCATACAGGAAAGTGGCCCACCGCTGTCACCCTGTCGATATAAACGTATGCAATGCAAATTCATTTTTAACCACATGTGTTTTAATAGAATCGCAATCGTGTTTTAAATAAAACTTTGAACTAGAGCTAGACTACTTTTAGTTCTGCAGACAAATTGCCGAAACATTTAACATAAAAGTGTTTGCTTTTGTTATTGTTATGTGTTAGTGGTTTAAACTCATCTAATTCTACATTGTAGACAAGATCGTCTCTTTAGACAGATGGCACAGATATAAGGATTTACCTTCATTTTGACGGCGAATACGGTAGTATGAGCGCGGTTGGCAACAAACATATTCTTTATGGGGCGCTAGAATATGTCCGTTGCCAACTGCGTTTATTTAAGCATTGAACTGTTTTTGTATGGTATTTATGATCTATTTGAATGACACAGCTTTGCAAGCAAACAAATCAAAATACTTCTATTTACGTTTTTTCTGCCTCTTATGTTCTTTTTTAATTTCTAATTTATATTTAAAATTAAAAATTATCGCCTTATCGACAGTCCACACAATTTCGTTCAATAGTTTGAACAGCGTATTGTCGCGTGCTGATTGTCAAACAAAGTAGTACTTTGAAATTTTAACAAACACTTCAATTTTATTCCACAATTCAGTATCAATACAATTGCGTATGATATGTCTATAGGGTGATTTAAGTTTATCAATAGAACTCTGAGCTGAAAGTAAGATTTAAAATTGTTTCGATTTGACAAATACAGTGAACACCGTAAATCCGACCTTGCCCTCCACGAGGGAGTTATTTTTGGAAGTTCATTCGAACTTTTCTCTTTGCTCATTTTGTGAAGAATCCAGGCGTGAATGTATTTGTTGAGTGTATGGGAACCTGACAACAGTCTGTAGATTCTATAACATCCTCGTTATTTGACATGTCGTCAGAAACTGAGGAATGGTGGATGCAAGACGCGTGAAAGATAGCGTTTTAAGTGAGTGATCTTGCGATGGAGCACAGGTTCGTCTGAAATGTTTATGTGTGCTGTGACTCATATCAGTAGGTCTGTAACATATGTGTCAATAGGTCTATATAATATGTGTATTTCAGACATTTGTAACGAACCCCTGTTGATCAGTGCAGTGTAACAGACATATTTCTGATACATGTAGGATTGCATGAGCGTTAAAATTGTTTCCATTGCCGGCATTTGTGATTTCAACCGATGTGCATTTTGTACGACATTGCAGACATTGGTCTTCTTTTCGTTGTAATAAAAGTGGTTTTTTTTGTTTTTGTTTTTTTTATTTTGCACATAAATTTACAATGGCATTGTCAAATGTCACAATGCCCAGCGATATTTCAGCAGCCGACGTGTTTATTTATATTGGATATTGTAGTTCCGGTCAGTGTTGTATTAATACGCCAAGAATTGTCTCGTGATGCATGGTAATTAAAGTCCCATCAACGACACAGCTTTCAAAGAGGCTATATAGTGACAATGCCATGCAAATGTAAATATACTACCATATGATCTGTCAAAATGCGGGTCAATCCTTATATTTACAGCCCAATATTGTGCAGATGATCTACGAAGGACAAACAGCCGAAGCGGGTTTTTTGCGATGATAACTACGGTAGCCGTGGTTGCTATATAGGATATAGTTCCAGTAAATTTACAGAAAAAAATAGCAGATTTAAAAAATACGCAGTGAACAACACTACTCTTCTTCTTTTTTTATCTTAACTTTTAAATTTTAAATAAAATTAATCTGAGAAGTTCTTTGAATATTTTTATTCATTTATAACGGTCGTTATGTACGCGCATTGATACACTTCTCTGGTCATGACGCAGTCTTATGTCTTAACGACGCTGTGGTATCCTTTTTGTTGTGTTTTCATTAGGTAAACATAAGTATCAATAGTTACTTATCTGTTTCACTAAAGGCAAAAAGAAAAAAGAAATCCACTGTAGTTTTTCTCATGCACAGTAACCTCCCTTTCATTTCATTATTGACATGACTGTAGCGCGACTGGGCCAAACTACTACTGTTGAAAGGGCAGCTTTGTTGGTTTGGTCGAAAGCTTATGAACAGGTGTCATAGAGTTCCAATCGTGGGCTGGTCGCGTTGCATTCATTATTTTTGTTTAATTCTTCTGTATTATGTTCTTTTAAAAGCTGATTCGAAAGGTCTGATTTACTTCTCAGAAATGATTTATCAAAGCGATAGTAATGCCGGAAGCACATTTCCCAATATTCGTAGCTACAGTGTTTGGCTGTGACACGGGAAACGCCTAGGTGTACAGTTCGGTATGCTACCTAAAGAATTGGTCCAGAGAATGGTTCGCGTGATAATTCTATTCGTGAAATACTTGAATCTTGAATAAACGTAAACAAAATTTACATCTCGCCGAATGGACATAAGTGACAGCCTCCTATTACATTCCCAGACGAGAACAAAGCACTTACTTACCGGACAAATGCCCATGTTGGAGTTAACATAACCAGCACAGATACGGTTGTGTTTGTTGGAGGCTCGCTGCAAGATGGAGCAGTGGGCATTGTCATACACCGGAAGTACAATGGAGTTTGCTCGATTAGACACAAGTCCCCCTGCCAAAGTAAACGTTCATTATAAAAATCCGGAATGATTTTTAAAGAATTTTCCAAGCTCCTGCCCCCCTTAGTCTAGCCCAGATATTCTATTTAAAGAGCAGTTATTCTAAAATTATGTCTCCCTTTTTAAACAAATTATATGTAAAATCTTCTTGAAACCCATGTCCAGTTCTTGGCAATAAAATATGTCTAAGCTTTAAAACAATAAAAAAAAAATGTAAAAGTGCTTTATATGCGATTTTTTTCAGCTTCCTTCTGTATATTATCCTCAATACCCAATTACGCATATATATATTATATAAACAAATGTTAAAATTGCAATACTATTGTGCAAAAGTACACATATAGGAAATCAAATCAATACCTTTAATGTTTATGGTTTGAATAAAACTGAGTACAATTGAAGCTTTGGTGTGACTTACCCCCGGATGTACATCCCCAGCCCTTCATGGTACAAGCCATCCCCACGGCCGGGAATGAGTAGTTGGCATAGGTAGGAAGATTGATACTCATTATACGGGAAAACTGACGGCCCGAGGGGACAGGCTCTTCAATGCGTACCAGGGCGATATCATTCGCCCAGTAATCTGTTATTCAATAAAGAGATGAAACGTACGTCAAATATGATAATGAATTTATTATATTACCATCCAAAAAACAAGAAACAATTAATTTATTAAAAAAAACCGCAAACAAACCATGATGATATACAAGACAAGCGTTTGAGTGATACGGGTGGAATATAGCCTCACTCAACCAGACGCTTGATCACTTGTAATTCTCTGTTCGGCGTAGCTTGAGCACGCAACAAGAGTCTGGTTGAACGAAACTAGGTGGAATAATGTTCAAATCAAGCGTTGAACAAACCTGATGAGTGATATTGGGCTGGAGGATGATGCCTCCGACCACAATTAATTTCCCTATATGTTCGTATCAAAGAAAAACCCTCTTAAAAAATGTATAAAGGTTTGCTCGAGACCTGATCTTTATAGCTTTGTTCAGCTAACCAAGACACATTTGCTGAAAAACTATCCATGACCGGCATTTTTTTTTAAAACAAATTCAAAGGTAAAATTAATTATGTCAACATAACCCCGTGGTAACATGATATGCTCCTGTAATTCATGCTCAGGGGCCCAAACACATACCATATCCTTCCGCCAAATTAAATTTCACACAAATTAATCAGCCACGTTAATCAAAGGGGTAAAGATAGTGTTTCATTTTGGCATGAAATATAGTTCCATTTTATTCAGATAAAAGAAATTAAAACTCATTTAAAAATGTGCCTAAAATTGAGAAATGCACTACATTGAGCCGGAAATTGTATCAGAACCATTAATTGTGTTCAAAGGCCAGAACCTATAAGAGACAAGAGCTTTTACAAACCTGATAATTGATACGAGGTCGCTGGATGAACGGATGAACCTGTACAAGACAAGCGTTCTAACAACCCTGATACATGAAGCGGGTTCGTAGTGATATCCCTACAAGAGAAGCGTTTAACTAACCTGATGCGTTATATCGGGGATGGATAACGATTCTGTCGGCATCTATTTCCCACGTGCGCCACTCATCTCTATCCACAATATGGGCTAGAATATTCCGCAATGTGTCTATAATATTATCCTGAAAGGAAAAAAAAGAGGAATTATGTATTCAACTGTACCATCAAGTTAACAAAATCAAACATCTTGTCTATGCGTATAAATATGCTATAAATTTGGCGATTGGTGTTGTTTAAAGCAACAATCTCTGCCTCTTTCAAATCGAGAAAAACATAAACATGTTTTAGGAAACAAAATGTATTTTCTGATCAGGTTTAATTTTGAAAACCAATTCACAATTTTGATTTTCCGATCAAAATATACAAAAAAACTGATTCCGTTTTATGAAAGGACAAACACATTGTTTTGACATTATTTTAAAATTCAATTAGAATTAAAACTGAGCTCAATATTTCTGATTCATGTTCCTCTTCCATCATGGATTTTGTGTCTAAATATGAACAAAGGAATTTGTTTTTACACGGAGACCTCTGAAAAAATACAAGGCAAACAAGACCAGGTGTTCCGGAACAATGAGCGTATCTTGCTTCAGCGACGACACCCGTCTGATAATTCTGGGTCAAATCCAAAAAATGTAACGGTCTCAAAGTAAGCACTGAGATAGTGACACGGAAACCAGAAGGTGCACAAATGAGAATTATGAAAAATATATCGACTTCGATATTGCCTACGGAAATAGGAAACTTCCCAATGAGATCAAGATAACAACAGTATTACCCATTTTCGGTATATTTTTTTTTATTAAATTTCGAAAGTTTTTGGTGTATTTTCTTTTCCTCTATTGATCACATCCAAACCCTTCACCAACAATACTTGGAAAACTGAAACTTTCTACTTTTTCTGCACTGATTCCCTACTTACCTAAACTATGTATGAATATTTGTTCGTTCATCTGTTCCCTACATGGATTCCTCATCAACATAATATATAGAGAATAATACGTTCTGTTTATTACATACTTACTAATAAAAACTACTATCTGATGATTTATTTTTATTTTTGAAATATTAAAAAACGATTTTTTTTTCTCCCAAAGGGGTGTGATATGGGTTTTGCGGGCTGATACGGATTTTGGGGTGTGATACGGCGGGGGCTGATATGGGTTATGAGCTGTGATACGGCGAGGGCTGATATGGGTTAGAGCAATTGTGTCGTATCGCATATAAAAAAAACCCGCGTTTATTAGTAAGTATGTAATAAATGCATTTATTAATCTATCCTTACTGTCATATATCAAACAGTGTCTGTTTTCATGTCGTCCTCCACATGTATCAAATATCAAAGATGGTTACAGTAAGATAGAAAGTGCCTCTGCAAATGTTTTTGCACATACAGAAACAAAGCTGTGAGCACTTGATATTTGTACTTTGTTATATTTTTGTTGGAATCACTTGATATTTGTACTTTGTTATATTTTTGTTTGAATCACTTGATATTTGTACTTTGTTTTATTTTTGTTGGAATGACTTGATATTTGTACTTTGTTATATTTTTGTTGGAATCGCTTGATATTTGTACTTTGTTATTTTTTTTTGGAATCACTTGATATTTGTTCTTTGTTTTTTTTTTGTTGGAAGCACTTGATATTTGTACTTTGTCATATTTTTGTTTGAATCACTTGATATGTGTTCTTTGTTTTATTTTTGTTGGAATCACTTGATATTTGTTCTTTGTTTTTTTTTTGTTGGAATCCCTTGATATTTGTACTTTGTTATATTTTTGTTGGAATCACTTGATATTTGTACTTTGTTTTTTTTTTGTTGGAATCACTTGATATTTGTACTTTGTTATATTTTTTTGGAATCACTTGATATTTGTACTTTGTTATATTTTTGTTGGAATCACTTGATATTTGTACTTTGTTATATTTTTGTTGGAATCACTTGATATTTGTACTTTGTTATATTTTGTTTGGAATCACTTGATATTTGTACTTTGTTATATTTTTGTTGGAATCACTTGATATTTGTACTTTGTTATATTTTTGTTGGAATCACTTGATATTTGTACTTTGTTATATTTTTGTTGGAATCACTTGATATTTGTACTTTGTTATATTTTTGTTGGAATCACTTGATATTTGTACTTTGTTATATTTTTGTTGGAATCACTTGATATTTGTACTTTGTTATATTTTTGTTGGAATCACTTGATATTTGTACTTTGTTATATTTTTGTTGGAATCACTTGATATTTGTACTTTGTTATATTTTTGTTGGAATCACTTGATATTTGTACTTTGTTATATTTTTGTTGGAATCACTTGATATTTGTACTTTGTTATATTTTTGTTGGAATCACTTGATATTTGTACTTTGTTATATTTTTGTTGGAATCACTTGATATTTGTACTTTGTTATATTTTTGTTGGAATCACTTGATATTTGTACTTTGTTATATTTTTGTTGGAATCACTTGATATTTGTACTTTGTTATATTTTTGTTGGAATCACTTGATATTTGTACTTTGTTATATTTTTGTTGGAATCACTTGATATTTGTACTTTGTTATATTTTTGTTGGAATCACTTGATATTTGTACTTTGTTATATTTTTGTTGGAATCACTTGATATTTGTACTTTGTTATATTTTTGTTGGAATCACTTGATATTTGTACTTTGTTATATTTTTGTTGGAATCACTTGATATTTGTACTTTGTTATATTTTTGTTGGAATCACTTGATATTTGTACTTTGTTATATTTTTGTTGGAATCACTTGATATTTGTACTTTGTTATATTTTTGTTGGAATCACTTGATATTTGTACTTTGTTATATTTTTGTTGGAATCACTTGATATTTGTACTTTGTTATATTTCTATTTATGTCTTTTCTATCGTAGAATCACTTGATATTTGTTAAATGTCATTTATAAAAAAAAATCACTTGATGTTTGTACTTTGTTCTGTAAAATTTGGAAATACTTGACAATTGTACTTTGTCCTATTTAGTTTGGAATCACTCGTTGTATGTACTTTGTCCCATTTATTTCAAACTCACTTGATATTTGTACTTTGGCCATTTTTTTCAGAATCACGTGACATTTGTACTAAATATTTATTTTCTTATTACTTCAGATCGATTTTTTGTCCAATTTAATTAAAATCGCTTTATATATTTGTACTTTGTCGATTTTTGAATCACGTGACATTGCACTTGGTCCTATCTATTTTGAATCACTTGATATTTATATTTTGTCTTCATTATTTTAAAACAACTTGATATTTGTACTTTGTCCATATTATTTTAAAATCACTTGGTATTTGTTCTTTTTCTCATTTATTTCAGAATCACGTGGCATTTAGTTTTGTGTTTTTGATATCCATCTTACCCGCAGTGACGTGGCCGCCAATCGAGCCTCCCATCTGTCTGCGATCTGACCCTGGGGTCTTCATAAAACATTGAAAACATTGATTACGTATATCTGTACCATTGTTCAGATTTACCCATTTCTAAGGACTCCTACCAGGATGTTTGTCAACACTAACATAATCTGTCAAACCAGATTCATTTGAAAATTAACTGAGGCTATATATATATATTATTTACCAATTGGGTTTTTATCTCATTACAGATATTGGAATGGAAGAACTGCTGTCCTTTATGAGAATAAATACATTTTCATTGACGTTGAGATTGTATTTTTATACTAGAAATATCAATAGAACACTTAATCAAAGTTTAATTCCACGCCTGTATTAATTATAAAAATATGTTAGAATGTAAACTTTAATTGAATATTCTTACCCGTCGAAGCAGTGGGCAGCGGTGAGTAGCCAGCGATCGTTCAGAATAGACCCGCCACAGAATTTATGCCGGAAAGCTATAGGAATTCCTAAAATAGGTATCCGCTCTGTGACGAACTTTCCGTGAAGACTGACCAACCACGGCCACTGACCACGCGCGGCAACTGAGCCCCCGATTATCCGCTTCTTTCTGGACAACACCTCTATGGATAAAATTTTGTTTATATTTATTATTGATTTCTTTATAAGAGGAAATTAATTGTTGATATTGGTCTGGTTTGTAAGGTTTAGCGTTCTACGAAAAGCTAAGGTAGTTTTAGGATGTTATCATTGATATAAAATATAACTACAAAGAAATAAGTAATACGTTTCAGACGAAGAAAAAAAAAGGAAATTGAAGCAATGAAATAACACAAAATATCATAGCGTTCGAATGAATAGTAAATTAATTAAATAGGATTTACAGAAAAAATGATTAATTGGATCGACGCTTTTGTAAAGGAAAGAAGACAAAGAATTAGAATTTCTGACCGAGGAAGATTTAACACGGCCAAATTACCAGTCATGTACTGTAGATTGTCTAAATAAATGATTTACTAAATTTATCGGAATCAGGTGAATTCCGTTTTGCTGATCACATAAAAAAAAATCCCGGGAATTCAATCAAACAGGGATAAGAAGATTTTAAAATGATAGAGAATTTGTGTGACACACGTTTATTAAGACTTCACACCCAAATAAAATGCAAACATATTCACGAGGGGAAGTTTTGAAGACAACTCACACTTATTCCTAGGAACTTTATTAAAAGAAAAGAGAATTATAGGAATAAGGTAGAGGAGACATAGAAGATACAAAACTTAAATACAAAAAAGTTGTAAAATTAATTAAGTAGTTGATTTAATTTTAACATTTCTTTATTAAAACATTTCTTCCACTTTTTGAGTTTCTACTCAGAACTCGTCTAGATTTCGCATGTTCAGTCTGAATTCCACACAAGATTGAAAAAATAATAAGAATAAACGAATAAAACAAAATGAATAAAAATTAAAAATGAACGAATGAATGAACAAGAGGTCCAGAGGTCCTGTATCGCTCACCTGGATATCTAAGCAATCATGGCAAAATATTCTTCAAATGAAATCCACGGGAATATGCCAGACCCCAAGGCCAATCCTTGTAGCATAACTGTATTAGATTGTTCATGCCCAGCAATTTTATGTATGGTTATGGGGTGGGGATCTCAACTGTTTCCAAGCTGTGACTCAGAAACTAGGTCCCTAGGGTTGTGGCCAGATCCCAGGATCAATTCTAATAGCGTAACTGCATTGTCTTTTTTTGCCCAGCATTTGTATTTATAGTTTTGAATTTATTTATTTCCAATTCAACAGAATATGTAATATGATTGATATCCATCTCTTAGTTCCAAAGAAGAAGTCGCTTAAAGCAATATAGCCAAATAACCCATTTTGGCCCCGCTCCTAAGCCCCCTGGAGGGTCAGCCTCACCATTTGTACAATTTTGAATTCCTGCCTCCCATGAATGCTTTTGATTAAATATGATTGATATCCATCTCTTAGTTCCAAAGAAGAAGTCGCTTAAAGCAATATAGCCAAATAACCCATTTTGGCCCCGCCCCTAAGCCCCCTGGAGGGTCAGCCACACCATTTGTACAATTTAGAATTCCTGGCTCCCATGAACGCTTTTGTTCAAATATGATTGATTTCCAGTGCATAGTTCTACAGAAGAAGTCGTTTGTAGCAATATAGCCAATTTGCCCCCTTTTGGCCTCGCCCCTCAGCTCCCTGGGGGTCAGCCCCAACATTTGTACAATTTTGAATCCCCACCACCTAGGGATGCTTCCAGTCAAATTTAGTTGAATTCCAATCAGTGGTTAAGATGAAGAAATTGTTGACGTACGGACGACGGACGCCACGGTATGGCATAAGCCCCTCGGACCCGGTGAGCTAATACATAAATAAGTAAACACAAATAAGGGTACAGAAGGAGCCACAAGAGTTCTTACAAAATTGAAGAATCTTTCATACCCAGAAAAAATACGAAAAGAAGATAAGTAGAAGTATACGTAAATGTTCAACATGCCCTAGGTCATGCGGAGCTTTATTTCTCTTCAATACTTCGTGTTTGATATCATACAAAGAAATAAAATATTTCCCAAGGGAACAATGATTGATAGCTTGTCCATGGGCTTCTTTAAAGGTAAACATTCAAATAAATCAACAGTGAGCGATGCGACACGTATCTTAATAATCGAAGCTACTTGTTTTCGAATCTTAAGAGTCTGACGTAGATGATCTGTACCCTGAACTAGGAACATGTCATTGAATGATAGTTTCGACTAACTAACTTGATTGTAGAAACGGTCACCTTCGTCGGCTGTTCCTGATGCTAAACAAAGCAGCAGCACGAAATTCACGACCTTCGCCATTTTTCTGTAATGTCAACAAAGGACAATAATAGTTTAATTAATTTTGGTCAATGACACAATTTAATTGTATAAAATCTTAAATATCTCATTCATTTGAAGTTTAATGGCGCTTTGGACTTGCCTTATTTTCCTTTTACTGTAGGTGCACAATGTAGTACTTTATAATTCACACACCAGGATTATCTCTCGGTCTAGAGTACGCTCTCGATTATCTTGCTTTATCAACAATTTCCTTTAGTGTTGTAATTATTTCTGAATATTCATAAAAGTCTATCATGTTCTTACATTTCTTGAAAACAAGTAAAAAATGATATAATTTAATCGATAATTTAACCCGACTTGAATGGGAATATTCAACATGGGCAACAATTCATATAGAAAAAAATAGGTCTAACGACTGACTTATCTTATCTTATCTTATCTTTTTTCTATTCTAACCTTCTTCACATGGACATTTTTTTCTTTTCATAATTACCATATATGTATATTTTCAAAATAAATCTGGAAAAAACAAGTGACTTACCCTGTGTTACATGTTTATACACACGTATCAACGAGGTGTTACTTATACTCTATGAAATGAAATGTTCGCTGTGTATAAACTTTAGCTGTTTTCGTGGTTGACATGGGACCACGAAAATCAATACAACGAATACAAGTGACATACTGGTTTTTTTAAATTGGGTATCCACAAAAATTCGTACAACGGAACGGTCCAAATAGCATCAAACCACGGCAGACCTCGGCGACTAACAAATCCATTAGCAGAGTGAAAACGAAGCAAAGAGGCAGTGAAGGAGACACTGTAAGAGCTATTTTCAAAAAGGATAATGCGTGTTTTGTGTAGGAAACTACAGGAATTGATCCGAAACAATGACTATAAAACGGGATAGGGAAGTACCTATTAAAAATGAGTAGGTTGAAAGTTAAACTGATGAAAAACGGGTGTCCAAAACGTTCCAAATCATGCGTAGAATACCGCGAAAAATGCAAGATACCTATGAAACCTTTCAATCAAACCAAAAGTTGAAATAAAAAGACAACAACGGGAAATGGAGGATATATAAAAAGAAAATAAAAAAAAAATCATGAAACTCTTTCAAAAACTGCTTCAGGCGTGTGTTTCCTACTCAACATACATAAACCTTCACACTACCCAAAAACTGGGAAAACGACCAAAATAAATACCATGCAGCACGGAGATGTATTGTAATTCATGCTGTTTTCACTTGATACTTTTATGTATTTAAATGTATATCAGCTTTATTGGCTGCTGATTATGGTTAGACGGACAAGTCAGAATAATTACGAAATCAAAACTTCATTAATTTCTTATAGCCGAGCGACGCTATGTATTAGGAAATCATTTTCAGAATTCTATTCTTTTTCAAAACTAATGCTAGTTTGGAGAAAATGAAATCATGTCGGGACCTCCTCTGACTCTAAAATATTTGAACTATATATAATTTTCTGCAGATACGACCATTAATCCCCTCCATTTTTAGCCAAAAAATACAAAAATGTCAATTTCAGGGTACAGTTACACATGTTACACTTTCTGTGTTGTCTGGTTTTGTTTTTAGGTTATACGATATAACCTGAAAAGGTCCACCAATAATATGGTTTGTTTGGGTCATTTAAGGACGTGTCAGGTTTTGGGAGTGGATGAAAAGCCGGAGTACCCAGAAAAAACACCGACCTGCAGCCAGTACCTGGGGAATGCTCGAAATTAAAAGCTGAAATTAAATTATTGATATTTACTTAAAAACTGTCCCGTTTTGGGTACAGTGACCGTAGACACAATCTTATTTTTTTTAAGAACTGTAAGCAACGTTTCCGGGCGATTAGGTTACTACTCTCGTTGGAACAATGCTACACTAGTACAGTGCTTAAATCATTTTCACCAGGTACAGCCGAATGGTCATGCAAGAGCAACAACCAAGAATTGATTCTAAAATAGGTTTGTTTGGATAGAGTTCCGTACAGATGTAAACATGTATTGATATATTTTGTGAACAATCTGGAGGTGGTTCTTGGCATTAAATTGAAATTTCAACCTAAAAGTATCACAGTTCAAAACCTATCAGAATCAGGTGTTTGAGGCTTATATTAACTCATTAAAACTATGTCGAATGATAGAATTTCTTTAATGATACATGAATATTAGAAGAGAGTAACGACTTCCAACTCTACAGAATCTGACTTGTCCAGTAGACATAATAGCCTTATACACCAACACAACGTCATCAAACGAAGACAAAATCAGAACTCAAAGTCGACACCATTATATCAAAAGGAAAGACAACAACTGAATCAGCCATCACGGAGGAAGTACACAACAAAGGGAAGTCTCGAAGAGGTTCGATAACAAAAAGAAAGACAATGGATCAATGTATCAACAAGAACGGAAGAGGTGCCAAATCAAACGGAAGACTGCAACGGTGCCAACAGGAACCAAACCGACACCAAACCAAAAGGAAAAACAACAAAAAGCCGAGACAACAGCAGGAACAAAGGAGATACCAAAAAAGGAAATATAACAAAAAGCAAAGACAAGAACAGGAACAACGGAGACACCAAAACAAAAAGGAGAGACAACAAAAGGGTCAAGACAACAACAGGAAATGTGGGGAAACAAAAAAATAACTAAAAATCAACATTATGACGAAAAAACCCCGAATAAAGCCAAACTAAAGGAACGACAACAATAGGTGTCAACAGGAACCGACGGTAAGTGGATCATCAAGATTTGAGGTGGTACCAAAACATAAAAAGGAAAAACAACATGATAAATATCAAAACAAGAAGAGAAACCTGTACTTTGGAGGGGAAAGCGTTTGGCACGAGCCATGATCTCTCCTGTCAAAATCTAAACAAAAGTGTGTGGGTCTCCAATGACTGAAGATGCTTCGGACACATACAAGTGGTTGCAAATTGTGTTTTACTACATATACGCTACCAGACAAAGAGGAAATGCGGTATAACTAACAAGCTTGTTATGGACAAATGTCAAAACAAGGATAACAATGACAATGAAAATTATTTTAACATTAAAAGGAAAATACAACCTGAACGTTTAGGAACACTCCGAGCAGTAACGGTCTGTTGATGTTGTTACATCCGAGGATATATGAAACGTTTTATCTCGACCTGACCTTCATCACACACAGATAAATATCAGATAACATAAAACTCTACCCATAAATGACCCGATTTACTTACAGACGACAGTGTATGATACAGCTACACGAAATATATCATGCGACAATAGAGTGTGAATCACAGGGAGCGGACACATAAGATTTGTTTGGGGCAGTCGTATATATAACAACCACTCGACTTATCTTACATAAGCCCCTATCTCATGTGTACAGCCCCTGTGGTGTGAAAACAGTACAATGTCCACTGACCTACCGTCTGTATTTACATAACACTGTGGTCCGATCTAGGAGTTGATCAGGAAATTAATTATTTCTTCAAAGGAAAATTACACCAATTTGAAGATTTATCACGTAACTGAAACGAAACCTTCTTTCCAGTTCTGTTTTACCCATATGAACATAAATGTAACATAAAAGACAACGACATTGAGACTTGTACACGTACACAGTCACTGTTGCAACTGATATAATATGTAATGCTTATATAAATATAGTTTCTACCCGTACCTGAAACGGAACCTGCTTTCTTAGTTCTGTTTTACCCATATGAACATAACACAAACAACCATGACCTTAAGACTATTACATGTACACAGTTCCTATTGTAACTGATATAACATATAATATCTAACCTTTATATAAATGTACTGTGTAGAACGTAAACAGCTCATGTCAAACCCTTGAAGGTAAAAAGATGCTTAAAAAAATTGGGCGATGGATTTCGTGAGATTTACGTTTCTATATCTTGATTAAAAACTAGGTGTCAATGACGGATGTAACATGTGGAACAGATTATCCTAAGGAGAACACCTTGTATCGTCTCCTGGGTTTCAATGAGAGTTCATGACGTCTTTGTTTTGCTTGATATCCCAAAGGTTGCTCATTTTTCTTGTGGTCTTTGATTGTCCCTTTTTTCCTGTTTGCAGACACTTGTCATCGAATTATTTTATTTTTGGAAGACCTATATACTGTGTTGGGTTGACCTATATTATGTGTTGGGATAGTCTATATAATTTGTGTTGGGATGACCTATACATATATAGCTATATGCTGTGTTGGGATGACCTATATGATTTGTGTTGGGACAACCTGTATGCTATGTTGGGATGATCTATATAATTTGTGTTGGGATGACCTATATAAATGTGTTGGGATGACCTATATAAATATGAGTTGGGACGACCTAAATAAATATGTGTTGGGACGACCTATACAAACATGTGTTGGGATGACCTATATAAATTTGTATTGGGACGACCTATATAAATATGTGTTGGGACGACCAATATAAATATGTGTTGGGATGACCTATATAAATATGTGTTGGGACGACCTATATAAATATGTGTTGGGACAACCTATATAAATATGTGTTGGGACAACCTATATAAATGTATTGGGACGACCTATATAAATATGTGTTGGGATGACCTATATAAATATGAGTTGGGACAACCTATATAAATATGTGTTGGGACGACCTATATAAATATGTGTTGGGATGACGTATATAAATATGTGTTACGTTGACCTATATTGAAAGAATTCAAAAACGAGCACTGCGGATTATACTAGATGCCGACTATGCTGTTCCCGGTGCACAGGTGTTTGTAAAACTAAAATGGCTGCCTTTTACGTACAGAGTTGAATATAACGAATGTGTTCTGATGTTTAAAGTAATAAACAAGCTATGTCCAAATTACCTAGACTGCAATACCCTTGTGAGCAATGTCCATACTATTCAAACCAGGTCAGCTGCGGCAGGTAGAAATGTTGTACCCAAACACAAAACGGAAAAATTCAAAAGCTCTTTCAAATATAATGGACCGACACTTTGGAACAATTTGCCAAACACTGTCTCTAAATGCCAATCACTAAACAGTTTTAAGTTCAAGTGCAAAAAACATCTCAATGTAATCTATAAAGATAAGTGTAAAGAAAATTAAAAATCTGCACCCCCTTCCCTCCTGAAATAACTATCTGCTGTAGTACCTGGAATATGACACACGTGTATCTAAATGAAGTTTTAAAATTTAATCTTAATTACTATTCCTAATGCCCTAATCAACACTTTAGTATTAACTCACGCTACATTAGCGTATATTCTTTAATTTTTTACCCTTTGTCACAATGACATGTATGTATATTAGACGCATTATGCGTTTCTTAAATCTTCTAAAATGCAGCATGAGAATTTATGCATTGCATGATATTTAGCCAACTTTTTATTTTCCAATACACGTGTGACATATTTTATTGTAAGCCTGTGTGATATCACATACCAATATATCTGTGATATGTATTACGTAGTTTTGTTATTGGATACAGGATGCAAGAGTGTGTTGGGGTTTTTTTTCTCTTTTTTTTTCGGTTTTTGGGTTGTATTTTTTGGTTTTAAAGATAATACAATGTTTTATTACCTGTGATATGTTACTTAATTTCTTATGTATGTACGTGTATGTCATATCCATGTTGTAAATATTGTACATTTTATGTCGACCACATGTGAGACGAGTCATTGACTCAATGTGTTATCGAATTTAAATAAAGTCTATTATTATTATTAGTATTATTATTATATAAATATGTGTTAGGATGACCTATATAAACATGTGTTGGGACGACCTATATAAATATGTGTTGGGATGACCTATATAAATATGTGTTAGGATGGCCTATATAAATATGTGTTAGGATGACCTATATAAACATGTGTTGGGACGACCTATATGCTTTGTTGGGATGACCTACAATGTATATAAATATGTGTTGGGATGACCTATATAAATGAGTGTTGGGACGACTGTATAATTTGTGTTTGGACGACCTATATGTTGTGTTTGGATCATCTATATAATTTGTGAGGGAACAATCTATATGCTGTGTTGGGATGAACTATATAATTTGTGTTGGGATGACCTATATGTAAATGACATATTTGTGATAACCTGTATGATTTGTACTATATTTAACTTACATCTAGTTTATTCTTCACCCAGGCAGATGTATCTACCTCTCAGATCGTAGCTGATGCTTTATTGTCATTCAGATCTTGTTGTAAACCTCTTGTCCTTCCCTCCCTATAACTTATCTACATTTGGTTAATTTTTAATATTTGGCGCTTATATTGGGAATTCCAACTGCTGATTTCCAATAAATGAACGAGTTTTTTCTCACGTCCAAAATGCTTCTTGCTTTCCAGAATGAGTGAATGGCTTCTAATGTATTTTTTCTTGCTTCATTGACAGAGGTCTTTGTAATTCTGGTGTCGTTGATGAAACAGAAGATTTCCTTTTAGGCAAACCTGGTCGTATTCTCATTTGTTTTCTTTTTGAAAGTTCTGCTTGTAAGTCTTTCCTTTATTTTGTCCTAGTTTCACCTATTTCAAGTTAAAAAAATTACAGTTTTGGTCACAATATGGCATTCTCTTGAATTCTGTTCGATTTGCTTGCCACCACTTGCAACTTGAGTTTTTCCCCCTAGGTTTTCCTCTTTCCTTTCCTCTCTCAGCTATATTGTTCTTCTCAGACCGACTTTATCTTCGTATAGGTGTTGACTGTATTTTGCTCTTTTTGTTGTGCATTTATCTGGATGGACCTTCACTAACTACAGCGTATTTGTCTGACCTTTGCTGTATATTATCCAGGTCCTGTTGAAGATTTCCCTTTCCTCTGGTGTCGTTGTGCCATTCTGTGACATCAGCAAACAACAGTGTTTTTAAGGATCCTTGTCCCACTACCGGAACACACTAGATAATCTCAGTTGTTTTTCGTATGTACAGTTATCTCCCTTTAAGGCAGTTTGGCGTCGGTATTACGGTACATCAGGTAATGTAGCTCTGTTGGTATAATGATCAGAGGTCAAGGGTTCAGAACCCTGGTCTGGCATTATTGAATCTTTAGATTCAGACCACGCGCACGGTTGTAGGTTGTTTATTTTTATTTTTTTTCATAAAAGATGCACTTGTTATGTTTTCATTTACAACAAGAGGCCCAAGGGCCTTAGCGGTCACCTGAGTTATATCATAGGTACTGGTAGCTTTATTTTATTGTTTAGAGGTGATGTGGAAATCAGCATGTAAACTAAGTGAAATACAATACTTGTCATGTCATCAAAGGATAAGAATTTGAAAATATTGGTAAATGTTCCCTTGGGGGCCCCGCCCTAGCCCCTTGGGATGGGGCAGGAATCCCAATTTTCCAAAGTAATACTCTCATTCACCAAAGATGATTCTGACTAAGTTTGAGTAATTTTCTGCTGAAAATGGATAAAATATATACCCAAAAGTGTTATTTCCCTATATAAACTATTGTAAACTTTACCCCCTCCCCAAGGGAGAACGGATAGCTCGGGGGTCCTGAAATTTACAATTTAAATAAAGCCCCTGATGATCTTTCCATCCATGCAGAGAAAATGACTGTAATACCTCTGAGTCTGGAGAAGAAGATTTTTGAAATATTGGTTAATTTTCCCTTTTGGGCCCCGCCCTGGCCCCTAGGGTTGGGGTAGGAATCCCAATTTTACAATTTAAAACCATCTTCCTCCTCCAAGGATGATTCTGACCAAGTAAAAATAATTTCCAACAGAAAATTGTCAAAATATACCCAAAAGTGTTGTTTCCCTATATAAACTATAGTAAACTTTACCCCCTCCCCAAGGGAGAACGGATAGCTCGGGGGTCCTGAAATTTACAATTTAAATAAAGCCCCTGATGATCTTTCCATCCATGCAGAGAAAATGACTGTAATACCTCTGAGTCTGGAGAAGAAGATTTTTGAAATATTGGTTAATTTTCCCTTTTGGGCCCCGCCCTGGCCCCTAGGGTTGGGGTAGGAATCCCAATTTTACAATTTAAAACCATCTTCCTCCTCCAAGGATGATTCTGACCAAGTAAAAATAATTTCCAACAGAAAATTGTCAAAATATACCCAAAAGTGTTGTTTCCCTATATAAACTATAGTAAACTTTACCCCCTCCCCAAGGGAGAACGGATAGCTCGGGGGTCCTGAAATTTACAATTTAAATAAAGCCCC